TTACTTTGCAGCCCGGACATTTCCCCCAAAACACATTTAGACGCTATCGCAACATAGAAATACCTTTTCAAATCCGATAATTTTTAAGACCATCTGAATCATATTTAAGACCTTTTTAAGACTTGTTAAGACCCCGCGGGAACCCTGATTGTAACTTGTTTTAATTGTCTGAACTTTTTTCGGTTTTCGCTCATTTCTTGACTTTTTCCGACGCGCTTGCATTTAAATCCAGCTCCCCGTCTCCCCGTCGCTCTGTGCAGCTGGCCTGTACCACTACACATGCTGTTCCCCCCACCCTTCTTTCACATGATGGTATGATCCTAGTGTGTCCTCGCATATGATTGGCCGCATGGTGGCCCAGCTAAATAAAGACCCGCCCCTGCCTGCAAGGATTCTCAGCAAGAGTAGGAGCGGCTGAAGATTCTGCTTTCCCCGACGGGAGTCTGCTCTTCTAGCGGCAGCTCGCGATCGGCGTGTTGGAGACCTCTGAATTAAAGTAGCAAGTCACCTCAAGTCAGAAGGCTCAAGTCCAAGTCAAGTCCCGAGTCATTGGTGTTCAAGTCCAAGTCGAGTCGCAAGTCTTTTGTGATGTCAAGTCGAGTCTCAAGTCGTAAAATGTGTGACTCGAGTCCAAGTCATGTGACTCGAGTCCACATCTCTGGTATGAGGCATGGCTACAATGGTTAGGTATGGCCCTACAATATATTTTTCAAATATAGCATAATAGGTCCACTTTAAATAATGTTTAAATGCAGGATCTTTATTTGTAATAGAGTATTACCATTCTATAGGCGTAGTGTAGCTGTGAACGATCCCAAATACAATGCATGAATTAGGGCTGCAAAATGTCTCCCGTTTTAATGATGATTAGATTTTAAATGCTAACACTTAACAGTTTTTTCTGACTGTGTGTTTCCTGCAGACGTACAGCTGCTGGTGGTGGTTCAAGAAGAGCTTCTCCCTGACCAGCAGGAGTGGAGCTCCAGTCTGGACCAGGAGGACCCAGAGTCCCTCCCATACATTAAGCAAGAACAGCAGGAACTCAGGATCAGTCAGGAGGGAGAGCAGCTTCAGGAGCTGGAGGAGGCTGATATCATCAAGTCTACTTTCACTCCTGACTCTGTGAAGAGTGAAGATGATAAAGAGAAACCTCAGTCCTCACAGCCTCATCAAAGACAAACTGAACACATGGAAACAGAAGCTGATGGAGATGACTGTCGAGGACCAGAACCTGCCAGGAACTCAGTTCCAGAAAGCAGTTTACAACCAAAGACTGAGGACAACACTGGAGACTCTTCTGAACCTGACACTGGAGACTCTTCTGAACCTGACACTGGAGACTCTTCTGAACCTGACTCTGGAGACTCATCTGAACCTGACACTGAAGACAGTGCGGATTGGAAGGAGACCAGAGAACCTGCGTCAGACTCAACCTCACTGAAAAATAGACAAGAATCTGTCAGTGATTCAAGCCGTAGTGCTGTAAAGAAACAATTTGGTTGCTCTGTGTGTACAAAATCTTTTACATATAAAAGCAATGTTCAGCGACACATGAGAGTCCACACAGGAGAGAAACCCTTTAGCTGCTCAGTTTGTACCAAATCTTTTGCATTGAGTGAAACTTTAAAAAAACACATGAGAATCCACACAGGAGAGAAACCATACAGATGCTCAGTCTGTAAGAAATCTTTTTCACAGAGAGAACATTTAAAGGAACACATGAGAATCCACACAGGAGAGAAACCACACAGCTGCTCAGTCTGTAAGAAAGCTTTTTCACAGAATATACATTTAAAGATACACATGAGAGTCCACACAGGAGAGAAACCACACAGCTGCTCAGTTTGTAAGAAATCTTTTTCACAGAATAGAAATTTAAAGGAACACATGAAAATCCACACAGGAGTGAAACCACATAGCTGCTTAGTCTGTAAGAAAGCTTTTTCACAGAGTGGAGGTTTAAGAAAACACATGAGAGTCCACACAGGGGAGGAAATATACAGCTGCAATGTTTGTGACAGAAGATTTAAATGGCGTAGTGATTTTAAACGACACAAGTGTGTTGGTCGTCAGTCCTTACAGCTTAATGAAATTCAAACTGAGGATAACAGAGAGGCAGAGCCTCCAATCAGCAGCTCAGCTGCACACATGGAAACAGAAGCTGATGGAGGACAATGAATAAGTCTTATGACAGTTCACATATGAGAGAATTCTGTCTGACTGGATTAACATTGTTACACAACATTCATATAAGACTTAAATGAACTCCATCTTTATCAACATAAGTGGAGAATATGTTTAATGTTTTTGTCAAACTGATGTTCTGATTTATACGTTAACCACTGACTGTTGATGAACCATTTTATTTTGGATTAAGGGCTCCAAGTTTTCATATAGAGATATAGGATGGTTTGATGTTTTGTTCTTTATTTCTAAATGTTTTATGTCATTGCTATCCTGTTCATGAGTCCTGTTTTACATAAATGTACCTGTTATCTGATTGTTTTTGCTTCTGTAACTGTAAGGGAATATATTTGCCTATTTTGTATCCTGATTACCCAATGCCGTTACATTTAATACGTTACTCCCTAAGCCTGATTTCAGCCACCTGCAACCGATTCGCTAATAATCACAAATGTTCATTTCTTTGACCCGTTGACTCAACTATTTCTTGTTTAATAATCGTTTCATCTCCTCAGGACCAAGTTCCCGTGTCCTGCCTTTCACCTGCTGATCACCCACACCCATTTTATAGTTTGGCTGCAGCACGTTGATTGGCTGCTGGAGAATGAGGTGAAATGTAATAGGTTAAAGAGACCGCCTGTGATGAGCTGATTATATGCAGCTGCGGAGTGAATGTATATACACCCAGTCTTCCTGAAATAACTTGCGCTGAGCTTCATTTCAATCTCGAAAAAAAAGATAAATAACACACATTTAAATTGCCCCACAAATAATAAATAAACACATTAGCTATATTACCATGGGACATGGGGACACAGCAAATAAATGCTGCCATCACAACGAAGTTAGAGGCCTTTGCATATTTAAAACCAGTGCCAAATATGTCAAATCTGTAAAGTTTTTTTAAAACTACAGAAACAAACTCTCAATGGCCACCAATCTGCAGATCACACACATCAATTTTACAAAAGATGTAACAAAGATGTTTATACTGCCGACAGTCATTATTTCAAACAGTATAACCACATTTAACGCAGAATGCTCATTCATTTGTTTCCCTCGACCACGATGGTTGCCATCGTATGGTCAGATCCTGGGGTGGACCGGTCACTGATGAAGGCGATATTCATGTCCTTTTGAGGCACATTAAATCATAGGTTAGCGCATCAGAGATAATGAATTAGGTAATTACATACTTTTTAAACTGTCACTCTTAGCTAATTCAGAGCCATTATTACGAGCTGCTAAAGCAACGCTGCTATTGTTTTCACCTATTGAGTCTGCATGTGTGTGTCATCATGGCAATGTGGTCCTGAAGACACAGAGGTGGTTTTGAGTACTTTGCCTAGTGTTTAAATGCATGTGGACAGATTTTGTCAATCACAACCGTGCAAGTTTTAGTGTCCCTTCTCATCTTTTTAGCAGGTTCCATACAATATTTGAACTGGTTAAGTGAAGAGCAGAAGCCACTTTTCAAATGTTACACAATCCTTTCCCCATGCCATTGCTGTCAACACCTATCCATGCTGAACGTTGCTAAGATATTATTGATTGGGGTGTGGCCAAAAGTGCAATATGCTTCAAAATGTAACTGGCAGAGAGCAGTGCTTTTGTCCTGTGTTTTTACACTGTGCCCATGGATTTTATTTTATTTCAAGATTTTTAATTACGTCGCTAAACTCCTTGAAAAGATCCTCTTCCTTTTCTCCAAGGTACACGACAAGGCAGCGGATGGCTATAGTTCTCTGCGTACTTCAATTGTATTGTGCTATTTTTGAAAAAGGAAAAAAAGAGAAATTACCTAAATGAATATATTCTGAATGGGTGACTGCCAACAACTTGCATTTCAATGACAACTCTAAATAACGATCCTACCTCAAGAAGCATGTCCTTGATCTGCTTCACCGGGATTCATTTTTAATAAAAAGCGATATCACAATAGTAACCAAAGTATTTTTACTCTCACAGTAGCCTCTACTACTTTGTATCCTCTCACAGAACTATTCACAGTTCAAAGGCTGCTAATTTTGGTCAAACAGCAATTTGCCTATACAGTGCAACTACAAGGCTATCTACTGTATTTGAATGACAAAAGATGACACTCACTGTAAAGGAATATTTTCATCTGATGCGTAGCTGTACTGAGAAACTTCACATGAGTGACCACTCTTTCTCTGTGTGGGGGGGAAGGGTTTACTGCCCACTCAGACAGAGTTTCTTTGTCTGTTCATCTGTAATCGATTAGGGGAAAAGGCGGGCTGTTGGGACCCCTCCTTTAAAGGATATATAGAGATGTTTCTGTCTTGTGTGGGTAGAGTTAATTTTGGCAGCTTGCATTGAACAGTGCGAGTTGCTTTGTTAATCCTCCGGCCGTTTGTCTCTCAATAAATATCAGTGTATTGACAGGCGAATCCAGTTTCACTCATTTCATGATTGGCTCAACATTGCTGCAAAGAAGTTTTATCTTCACAATTGGCGTCACGAACGGTTACCAACAAATCGTCGAGCTGGTGAGTGTAATTTCAAATCTATATTTTGACATTGCCTCGCCAGACTCTGTGATTGACGGTATAAAATTACCTGTGGAACAGATAGATGCAATATTTTTGGTTTCCTCTGTGTGTGTGCACGGCAAATATTCGGAGAGACCTTAAAGAGGGCATCAGTAATGTGGAACTTCGGTTTAAAAGCAATGTAAAGATTTGTACTGAAACGAATCGCGGATTTCTGGAGATTTCAACGGTTTAACCAGTTAAATCAACTCGCCTCGAAATCACCCTGTTGCTGCTGCAGGAAGAGGGTGTGGGTAATTCCCCTCCCCCCTGTGGGGAGCAGTACACGAGGAGAAACAAAGCACAGTGTCGTATCTTCTTAAATCGCACCATTATGAGTTTTGGAACTAAACAGAACTATTATTAACGGGAAACGTGATACGAAATATTACGTCACGCTGTGTTTCATAAACTGAGGGGTTGTTGAATTTGGCTGTTGTTAAAATAAAGGGTACTGAATTCATTAAAAGTCTCTGCTCTCCGGATCGGGGAGGGCAGAGCACCACTAAATTAGCATAGTGGTTGTTGATTGAGAATAATGTGGTTATTACTCTTCAGCAGATTCCGTTCTTAGAATTAATTTAATTAATTAATATCTCTGCTCTCGGTCGGTTGAGCAGTTTTACCACTACATTTGCATAGTGGTTTTGATTGAGAATAAGGTAGTTTATTGCTCATCAACAGAATTCCCCTCCCCCCTGTGGTGAACGGCACACGAGGAATGTTTAACAACACAGACTTGTATTTTCTGTTAATCACACCATAAGCTCAAGAACTAAATTGAGCTATTAAATGGGAAGGGTGGTGGCAGAATATTACATTCACACTGTGTTTAATAAACTTACGGATTATTGAATTGGATGTTGTTTAAAAAAAATAAATAAGTACTGATATTTCCCTACCCCCGCTGAAGTTTCCCTAATTCGGATTAAAATTAAACTGGATGAGTTTAGCTGTCACCTGATATTTGTTGCGGGTTCATGTTTGTTTGTATAATTGTTTCGTGTTTGTTTGTTTACCCGCCGTCTTGTGCATGTTTTGTAACAACTAATAATTAATCAGTCCACAGCCAAGGTAAAATGAATCTAAATTTCCGCAAAAGGAAAATAAATAGCAAAAAGCCTCTGTTTTACACCCGGGAACCTCAGAGGCATAACTGCGGGTCATCTGTCTGCTCAAATAGGTCAATGTTATATTATTTGTTTCATTTATTCTTAATCTATGTATTGTATGGTAATAATGAAAATAAAAAAACCTAATGTATTGAACACATTCCGAAACAAAGCAGATAAGACAAGACTCAGACACAATGGTGATTAAACCTTTTTGCACGATTGATGCAAAATGAAAACTTTGTCATTATCTGTTTCCAACTGGCCACTGGAATCAGATAATTGATATAAGTTCAATTACAGTTTTTAAATATAGTTCAACATTCTTTATTAAACTGTTTCAAATTATTTCTAGTCAAAATCCCCTCCCTTTTTTTCTCTGCTCTGCTTGGTGCTGCAGAAAAAAAAAACGCAAGACACGGGGTCAGAGACAGGCGTGACCTCTGGAAGGAAAAGATAATCTGAAGCAGACCACGGCGCGACCCATTGGGGGTTTTATGACCACAGCACAAAGAGGAACATCTAATTGCAGCAGTCAGTTTATAATTTTGCCAGTACTGTTGAGCATTTTCAAAATGTATTTTCATGCCTCTGTGCATGGCTTAGTCTTTCTATCTGCATAGCCACTGGTGTAACTAAGTTCATAAACTTAACAAGTACTATACTTGGGAACAATTTTGAGATACTGGTACTTTATTTGAGTATTTAAATGTTTTGCCATTTTAGCCATCCGCTCCACTACAGTTCAGTGGTACATGGTGTATTTCTACTCCACTACATGTATTAATACCTTTTAGTTACTTTCAGATCTGGATGAATGATGTGAAATCTAATCAAGTGTTGAATCAGACTTTAGTTCCACCTGGAGTAAATCCACCAGCTACCCTGCAGTATACAAAGTCATTCAAACTAGCTGCACCTTCACCAGCTTTGAGAACACTTTCATGATCAATCATTATAAAACATATCATATATAGTATTCTGAAATAAACCAATCTGCACAGTGACTACTTTTACTGTCGCTATTTTCACTATATTTTGATGACAATACTTTTATACTTTTACTTGAGTAACATTTTGAATGCAGTACTTTTACTGTAACATAGTATTCCTACACTCTGGTACTTCTACGTTTACTCAAGAACAAGATCTGAGTACCTAAGCTAACGTTAGCCAGAAACATTTTCAGTTCGCTTCAAGCTCTGCCGCTCCGACAGGGAGCTCTGCTCTGAACACCCGTTCTAACAGCTGTTCTCCAGCGGTCCAGTCTGTGCCACAGTCACTCCGGACCACACAGCTAATATTAACGAACACATCCGTAGGCAGTAATGTACATGAACGCGTTCATATTTTGGGCGAACGTGAACTGAACGTACTGTATTTCCGCTAGATGAACGTAATTGAGAACGCGTTCATTCTCAGCGCTGTACATGACGGCGTTCAAGAGTGCGTTCATTCTCAGCACTGTATTATAACGGCGTGGTGTTGTTGCAGGAAGTCCCGACGGGGAATACTTTTGCGGTAGTACATCTCTATATACATCGATACAACATTACGTGTTGATAGAAATCATCACATAATGAAATAAGACCCCACGGTTTGATAATTGACAGGTGTGTGGGCTATCTTCCATTTTGACACACAGAACAAGG